TACCTTCTAATGTATAGCATTTCTTATTTTGTCGCATAAACACCATAATGCCTTCCACCTTACAAACAACATTCTGTGGAGTTTCTAGAATAGTCAGCAGTTGAATGCAACAACTGTAAGGCAACTGTTCCATTTGCGGGATTGACTAATTCTGGCCATACGACCTTTTGGTTTATTTGTTAATTCATAATAATTATCTCCTACTTTTTCATAGAAGCTTCCCTAATTGCCTAAGGCTCGTTCATTTTTGGGGACAATTTTCAAACTTATCTATCTACAAGGAAGCCCAGCCGGATTGTTCTGAGAATCGCGTGAGAATGAAGCCCTTCTGGGTTTTGCTCTCTTCCTTCTTTCGTCGTTTTCGATTGAAGGTTTCACACATAACATGAAAAAGTGCATTCTTGGTACAACTTGGCTTCTTCGCTTTTCCGCATTTATTCATAAAGTTCACAACTTTCACGCAACTTACGGCTTTTATAGGACGTAAATATTCAAAGCGGAAGAATGTCACGGAAAATCACAAGCTGTGCTCAATTTTTCAGTAGGCACCCATTTAGGAAAACAAAGTCTAGGCGCTAAAGCTTCAAAATCCTGTGTTACATAATAGTCTGCTACAGTACCACAAACCACACTGCTCGCTAGAGCGTCGTCATCGTTCACGCCGTTCATTCATCGAAGCGCGTTCAATTGTGGGCTAAAAATTGCCTGCTACAGCTCTTTTACTAGACGCACAGAGCAAGTGAGGGAGAGTCGCGCAATAAACATAACTGAAATCCGTAAACAACAATTGTTGTCGACGATGTCCCATCGCAGCGGGATCGCCACAGCCAGCCACCGCCGATGGCCACCCCGTTCACGTGGTGGAGTATGGCACGGCAAAATGCAAGGAGGTACAATTAGCTGTAGCCTTGTTTGTCCTACTGACGGCTTGCAAATTATCGCTGAACAATCACTGATTACTAACATAACTACTCGGGTGGACACAAGGCCGTCCGTCGAATGGGCGTGGCCAGGTGTTGACTACGAAAACAAACACTGACCACTCATTGTTTACACCCATGTATTAACAGTACAGTTGATTGATGAAAGGTTGAAAATGACTGGCTGAGAATATTTTCTTGCTAATTAACAACTATTTATTTGTTTTTTCAGAGCGCGTGCCAAACTGTCAGAAATGTGGTCAACATGGACAAAAATCGCGTCTGAAGGGTCACAAGCGATTGTGCCCGTTTAAGGATTGCCTCTGTCCCAAGGTACGTCCTAATCTTGCCACGTTCCCACATTTTGTTTTACTGTTCAATTTCCTCCACTTCTTTTTCATCCTCATTCAATCGTCCTCTTCAGTAGGCTTTCTTTTATTTGACTGAAGGCCTATAAATCGGTTGAGCAAAAACAAGTCAAGCAGTTTTTTAATCACCTTATAATTAGGAACATTTGGCTCTCGATATTTGGATATTTCTGAAAGGTGTCCTTTTTTCGCCTTGAGTAAGAGAGCCTTCTTTTCCCTTCCTGACTCCGAGAGACCTATTCTTGGTGGTCCGCTTGGTGAATCAAGTTTTCAGTCAGGTTTAAAAAATTGAAGCGAATTAGCTTTTCTGACTACAAATCGTCATCTCTGCAGAATTTCAACATCGAGCGCGTAGCAACAAGACAAAAACCCATAGAAAAAAGTAATTGCATTGTTTCAAGGTTTGGTTTTCACAGAAAAGCTGTAACACTCACAAGTAGCGCATTAGAATTAACTTTCTTATTTCCAATATTGTTTCATTAGTAGATCAAATTCCAAGAGTTAATGAAATTCGAGCAGCTCTAATTTTTAAACTTTCACACTTTTCCCTAACTTTGTTAAAGGAATCTTCCACGGACCATGGACCAGTGGGCGGGACCGGAACTGGTTTTACGACGAAATGCATGGTATGTACGGGTCCACGTATGGAAAGGTTTGAAGTGAATCCTGTCCCCGTTCGTTCGTTCGACTCGTGGATCCCTCCCTACCATGCATTTCGTCGCAGAACTAGTTCCG